TCCCTCATCCGGGAACTGGGTTGAGGATGAAAGTTGGGTGAATAAGCATGTTGGATGGATCTATTTTTTTGTGTGTGTGTTTTTGGTTTGGTTGTTTGTTTGTTTGTGTTTGTGTGTGTGTGTGTGTGTATGTGTGTTGTGTTTGCGTTTGTGTGTGTGTTTGTGTGTGTGTTTGTGTGTATGTGTGTGTGTGTGTTTATATAGTAATAACAATAAAAAAGTAATCATAATAATCAAAGACATTAACGAAAATAATAAAAAGAAGGAAAAAAAAAAAAAAAAAAAAAATAGACCGTGCTTTGTCACCTTCTCTCCCCTCGACACCCAGGGGACGAGGGGAGAATACGACCCTGTGGGAGACTCCGAGACGCCATCCACAACCCTTTTCCTCCCGCCGGTGGAACATCCCTCATCCGGGAACTGGGTTGAGGATGAAATAGAGTTGGGTGAATAAGCATGTTGGATGGATCTATTTTTTTTGTGTGTGTGTTTTTGTTTGGTTGTTTGTTGTTTGTTGTGTTTGTGTGTTTGTGTGTTTGTGTTTGTGTGTGTGTGCGTGTGTGGTTTGTGTGTGTGTGTGTGTTGTGTGTGTGTGTGTGTGTGTGTGTGTTGTTTGTGTTTGTGTGTTTGGTGTGTGTGTGTTGTGTGTTGTGTTTGTGTGTGTTGTGTGTGTGTGTGTGTGCGTGTGTGTGTTTGTGTTTGTGTGTTTGTGTGTTTGTGTGTGTGTTTGTGTGTGTGTGTGTATAGTAATAACAATTAAAAAAGTAATCATAATAATCAAAGACATTAACGAAAATAATAAAAAGAGAAAAAAAATAGAAAATAGACCGTGCTTCGTCACCTTTCTCTCCCTCCTCGACACCCAGGGGACGAGGGGAGAATACGACCCTGTGGGAGACTCCGAGACGCCATCCACATCCCTCTCCTCCGCCGGTGGAACATCCCATCATCGGGACTGGGTTGAGGATGAAATAGAGTTGGTGAATAAGCACGTTGGATGGATCTATTTTTTGTTGTGTGTTTTTTGTTTTGGTTGTTTGTTTGTGTGTTTTTTGTTTTGGTTGTTTGTTTGTGTGTTTTTTGTTTGTGCGTTTGTGTGTGTGTTTGTGTTTTGTGTGTTTGTGTGTGTGTGTTATAGTAAATAACAATAAAAAAGTAATCATAATAATCAAAGACCTTAACGAAAATAATAAAAAGAAGGAAAAAATTAAAAAAAATAGAAAATAGACCGTGCTTTGTCACCTTCTCTCTCCCCTCGACGCCCCAGGGGACGAGGGGGAGAATACGACCCTGTGGGAGACTCCGAGACGCCATCCACAACCCTCTCTCCGCCGGTGGAACGTCCCTCATTCCGGGAACTGGGTTGAGGATGAAATAGAGTTGGGTGAATAAGCATGTTGGATGGATCTATTTTTTTTGTGTGTGGTTTTTTGGTTTGGTTGTTTGTTTGTTTGTGCGTGT